ACTACACTCCATACTCTAGCCTGGGTGACAGAGAGACTCCGTCTAAAAAAAAAAAAAAGTGTTGATAAATAAACCCAACAAGAGCACAGAAGGCTCATGCTCACTCATCTCCTCTGCCCCAATATGTAGATGAAAAGACAGTAAACAAAAGAAAAAAAAGGAACAAATTCAGAATAGTGTTGAGATCAGGAGAGGATATGGGAGAAGACACTGGGATTGGCTATGTCTATGTCTGCTCTAAATTCTCTTCTCCTACATATTCTTTGTATAGAGGCAGAAAAGCTGCTCATTTTCCCAGCCTCTCTTGCAGTAGGGGTGGGTGCCCAAGTGATTTAATCGTTGCCTGAGAGGCACAGACTAGTTTCTGGGAGAGCATTTCTTTTCCGATGACAGGGTGAATGTTGCTGTTGCCAGATTTCTCCTGTTCTCTCTCCTTCCCTGATCTTGGACATGGAAGCCACCTTGTAACCATGAGGGAAGGGCTAGGAGACCTTTACAGAGGGTGGAAAGCAGGTGGTACATACTGACAGGTGACTCTGGGAGGGGAACCACAGATTCTCTTAGGCAGAGCCTCAGTGAAGTGTCCTGTTTGGAGTTGGTAAGAACAATCAGCAGGAAGGAGGGGAGAAGAAGAAATCATGGCCATCAAATGGTAGCCTGTTTGTGGCTCCTTCTGTCTGTACCACCATGACCCAGAGTGCTTACTTTCAGGCTAAGAAAGAGGACTACTATGGTGAGCTTTGGATGGCATCTTGGGCTAAGGCTGACAGAATGAAGCGCCACAACCTGCCCATGATGGGGACTCGTTGGGCAGGTGTCTGCCTGCCTCCCACTCTAGTAGATGGCTCATCGGCCTGTCCTGGAGGTGAGATGTGCTAAGTAAACAGCTGTACTCTTGAAAAAGAAACCTGAGTGTACTACCAATCTGGGTCCTTCACTTGTAAACTACAACCTGATAACCAAGGATTTCCAGATAGGGTAAAATGTCCTAAAGGAAAGACCACAATGAACAAATCAAAGATTGAACCCAGAAAAGGCAGATAATTCAGGGAACAAGTTATTTTAGAAAATGTTAGCATCTGCAGCTGATATCTGAGAAGATATCACAAAGCTTTCCTTCTATTAACAGACCATGCAATTCAGAACAGGCTTCCTCACTGACAACAAAGAAAAAAAGGTGGAAAAATAGAAGCAAACTTCTGAGAGCTAATGCGTTAGTGATAAATAACTGAGCCATGGTGTGGGGAAGACAGAAATCCAAAGAGCGACGTCTTTGCTTTGGAAATATTTGTCCATGAGGAAGAGGCTAGGCAGAACTTCTACCAAACTTGAGGGTCTGGGTTGGGCGCGGTGGCTCATGTCTGTAATCCCAGCACTTTGGGAGGCTGAGGTGGGTAGATCACCTGAGGTCAGGAGTTTGAGACCAGCCTGGCCAACATGGTGTAACCCCGCCTCTACTAAAAAAATAAAAGTTAGTTAGGCGTAGTGGCATGTGCCTGTAATCCCAGCTACTTGGGAGGCTGAGGCAGGAGAATCGCTTGAACCCAGGAGGCGGAGGTTACAGTGAGCTGAGACTGTGCCACTGCACTCCAGCCTGGGCAACAGAGCGAGATTCTGTCTTGGAAAAACAAACAATAACTTGAGGGCCTAGGGGGACCAAAGCAGGGGCTAGGGCCCTGTTAACTTACCCCTCCTTTGTCCTGGTATTCCAAAGGTATGCAACCTAGAATAAGTGTCAACTGGAAGTAAACCAGCATCTACACCAGCTAGCACCCAGCTTTGAGTTCCAGGCAGTCTACAAAACTTCAGTCCCTGAACAGGATCATGGCATCCCTACAGTGCTACTGCCAGGAAGTCGGCAGAAGCAAACAGAAGTGTTCTGTAGAAGAAGATAACATCATCTTAGGCCTCAAACTATTTCTACAATAAATTTTTCAAATACTATGTCCACCAGACAGTAAAAAATAACCAGGTACATAAGGAGATAAGACAATCTGAATGAGAAACAGCAGAAATATTTATAGGCAACAGAAATAGATCTGTGAAGGCTCCCGATACTAGAATTATCAGACATAAAGCTTTAAAATAACTAAGATTATTATGCTAAAGTAGATAAAAGACTAAATTAAAAATCTGGCGAAGAACTGAAAGCATAAAAAATGATATAGCTGATTTTTTTTTTTTTTTTTGAGACGGAGTCTCACACTG